ACGAATTACCAGTTACCTAGGCATTAGACATCAATCATTCATAGAACTGAATCATTCACTGAGCATTAATAGCCCACAGTTCAATGAATTTTCATTGTATTTCTTTGAACAAACCTATAATTAACTTGTAGTTTGTTTTATCTTGGTACATTTACCTACTTTATCGAAGTACTTTAAGTGTGGGAGAGCCATGCATCGGCACGAATGGGCCGGCTCGACCGGAGTGATACCACGGCCTCACAGAAAACCGATGTGAAGCAATGCTTGCGTTGTGTTTCGACGTGTGAGTGAGGTTCCCGGAGGCCTAATCCCCCCCCCCCTCTTCTATAATCTCCCCAATCCATGAATCTCCAACAATCCCAAAAAGGCCGGTAACGCACTTATAACAACTCTGGTGTTCCAGGTGTCCATGGACGACGCCGATTGCTTACCATCAGGTGATCTGCTCATTTACCGGCTTATGCCATAAAAAAGGGAGTAGGCAGAGATGCACTTATATATTATAATGTAAAACACACTATACTCAGTTTTCAATTACGAGTGTCATTTGATATTGGGCGGTCCAGTTGCCATACCTTACGAAAATCTTGGAAATCCGAAAAATATCCATCAATAATATGTTGCTTATACCAGAAACTCAATTCACTTTTGTGATAGTTACTCGACTGACATAGTACGTATTATGTAAACAGTAAAGGAACTTTACTAAGAACACCTAAATCACCAGGGTTTACAACCCAGTGATTAATATTTGTCGTTTAAATGTGAAATGGGTTCCTTGCCCTCCAATGGGACGTTTACCGACTGTTATAATCTTCTAATGGTTTGTTAATACATTTTAATATTTCAATTTATGTTTTGTCGTCACCCCTTTCATGTTATCAGTTTCCAGTACCGCAAAAGTCTGCCTTATTGCTTAGACGATTAAATGGTTTCTTACTTACGTATTCTGTTGGCTCAAAAACTTAAAGTGAATCAATTTAATTGTGGCCAAAAAGTACATCTATAAGTTTAAATATATATCTATTTCAAAAATTCCACTGAATCAGGAATCGAGTCCGATATATGGAGTTTCATTTGCATTTACACGTGAGTCATTGACAACTGGCGTAACGTGAGCAATTACATAACACGTGCCTGCTTACCCTTCCAGTAATAGAAGCCATAATGTTTTACGTCTGGCAATAAACGCTACTCTTATTTACTAACAAAGTTATGACTGTTGAAAGAAAATACTAAACACCTTTGCGATTCGTCCAAAATTACATACTTACCATCAACAGCCTATAAGTGGCCACTGCTGACCAGAGGCCTCTTCTCACACGGAGGTTTGAGCATTAATCAACACGCTTGCTCAATGCGGGTTGGCGATTTCAAACTTATGATTAGAAAGATGTTTTCTTTCACCGTTTGTCAGTGGTGTCTAAATAATCTGAGAAAGTATAACTCGGAAAAAGTCACATTGGTACTTCCCGTTGGTAGGTCTTCGACTCGCACCCCCGTGCCTGAAGAAGCGGTCGTCTGAAACCTCCAAGCCACCACGATTATTATTTTCACCAAATAGGTGACATATTATACCTACGTTTACTTACAGATACAATGTGTATTAATCAAATGTAATTTAGCTATACAGTACCAAAGTTTACAATGTACACACATTCAAATCACGTTACTAGGATGGATTTAACGGGTTGCCGGGGCTCCGGCTCGAAGTGCAGGAGTAGAAACGGGGTGGTTTTTAGTCAATAAGAGTCTGACACTCCCTCTCGCCTCACCCGGGCGGGAGAAGTCATTGGATGATTTTCCCCCCTCAAAAAAAAAAGCTGACCCAGCAAAACCACCTACATTTTTTCTAAGCTTTTAAACCTTCCCTGGATTTCCACGAACACGGAACAATCCAAGACCAAAATTAGCCAAATCGGTCCAGCCGTTCTCGAGTTTTAGCGAGACTAACGAACGGAAATTATTTTTATTTGTATAGATAAAAGACGGTAGGGGAGGATGTACCTCTATCTATATATCAATGTAGGTAGCTATATACAACTAGAGGCCAAATTGATTCGGGTCGCGACCAACGCGACAGGTGTAAATGAATTGGGGTGTAAAAAGTATCCGACTTTGAAACACCAGTGTGTTGGAAAAAGTCGAATTCGACTAGACGAATTGCCCTGCCAATGTTGGACAGTCGAACAGAAACAATACAGGATAAAGTTCTGATTAAACTGTTGCACGGAACGGTTCTATAATTCACGAGTTTCAGTTATGAAGTTCGGATATAGATTTCTGTTAACACCGACTAACACGTTATGGATTGTTTTACTGCAAAATTAATTACCTAAGTACTTATTATGATTTATGACTTACTAGCTTTTACCCGCGGCTTCGCTCGCGTCACAAAAGGATAAAAGTAGACTATGTGACATATACCAATACACACAGCGCCATCTATACCAATAATTTCGTTTTACCTCGAGAATATCAAATTTTTCCGGGATAAAAAGTACCCTATTATTTAATCCAGACTTCTAACTTCACGTCTGCAAAAATTCAAAGCAATCGGTTTAGTAGTTACGGCGCGAAAGTGGAACAAACAAACAAACTCACTTTCCTATTTATAATATTAGTAAGGATTAACTCCAAATTCACACTTATAGTGTATTTTGAAAGTACAAAAATAAGGGCACTCCTTATTACATAGGACTAGTGGGAATCATGGAAAAGAAAAGGGTATATAGGTGGTAGAAAAAATGTGTTACATTTAAAATTATACATTTCCAGCCACTCCTTAGAAAATTAAACACATTATCTGTAAATAGTAAAATGTAATAAACAGCACATTTTACACGGTAAACTACACCCTAACTGAAGAGTATTAATGGCGTTTTATGTAAATCACTTCTAGACATAAGATTTTACTACGCCTTGCTACATATACGCTACGACTACGCTTTGAAGTAACTTTTTACATGGAGGTAGAACTGTAGTACGATGTACTCCAGAAGTTTACTATGTAGTCAGAAGTACTTAGGCAGATTGCAAAGCTAGGGTAGCTACTAGCTCGTAACCACTCTTGTCTTTTGTCTTCCTATTCATATTTCCTGACATGATACCCATTGTGTTTGAGTAAAATACTTGGCGCTACTCTACAATGTATGATGTATCCTGCAAATTTTATCATAGCAAATTTTGTTTGTGTTGATTAGTGCTGATTGTGTTCCGTCGTCTTTAATTTTGATGGTAGGCACCGGCGATATGTTAGTTTTAAATGGTTTGAAATCGAGTTTTGAATAAAATTACTAAAGTAATTTAGGAATTCTGATTCATCATTGGGGTACTGTTATCTGATATCTAACGTAGGTATTACTTAATAAAAAAATCAATTTCACGTTAAATAAATACTTACCCTGTCTAATAAACTTCTAAGCAAAAAGTCCACTTCAAAATGAGGTTAACCTCATGCATATTAAAGGTTAAGGCATAAGTCAAGCTATTAAAAACCGCCGTAAAGGTAACTGCTACCTTTTTGTGAAATTACCGTAATGAAGCGTGATAACCTCACTGAACTTTACATAATATCCTCGTCTACGTCTAATAATATCTACCTGAAAGGCCTCACAGTGAAAACTCTTTGGAAAAATTAAGGAATAAAATACGTTTTATGAAGACTGTCCACTTGATGGAAAGTGCTCCGGTAGGTGGTAGCTACCGCAATTTTTAGGGACTCGTAGTAAATATATAAATTAAATAATATCAAAGTTGTTTTACTAATACAAGTAAGGTGTTGGGAGAGATGAAGGGACGTCTTTTTTACATTTACTAGACTCATTTCTAGACATCGATTCTGTTTCCTTTTTTACATGTACTAGACTCATTTCTAGACATCGATTCTATGTTTCAGAAACTTAGCAATAGTTAGGTACTTGTTTATAAATACTAGGCGATGAATGTAACCTGAGGATAGTTATTCATTAAAGAGTTGCACTTAACCTAACGAATGGGAAGTATTAAGGCAACCTTATAATTAAATGGAACAGTTCTGTCGCTCATTCAATATACTTAGGTATTTTATTCGACCACGCGGCCATGATGGGTATTTGAAGGTCTCATTAATACAAAGATGTTGATCAATGCTTGATGTCGATCGCAATGTCCTTCTTTTGTTAAAGTATCGTTCATGTATGCAAAATATTATCTTAAGGAGCAGTTAGTATGTTAATCGAATGTCGAATGTCGTGGTGGCCCGGAGAGCTACCTAACTAGAGCTTTAAGACGCCCGCTTCTCATACATGAGGTTGTTGTTTCGAAACCTATCAACGGCAAGTACCAATACTAATGACTTTTTCCGAATAATATGTAATGTACTTTCTAATATTATTTCATTTTGGACACCACTGACAAACGGTAAAGGAAAAACATCGCTAGGAAACCTGAGCTTACAATTTCTAATTATAAATTTGAAATCGGCAACCCGCATTGAGTAAGCGTGGTGATTAGTGCTGAAAGGCCTTTGGTCAGCAGTGGCCACATACAGGCTGTTGATGTTAATATACTAACTGTTTAGTTATTTATAGGAATAAAGTTTGGCAATTACGATTTACTACTATGTAGGTACTAATAATATATGTTATTTTGGTATTCCCAATGCCGCGTTACTATAACACAAACATAGAGTACAAAAGGTTTAATTTGTAAGTTGAAGGTCCACATTTTTCATTACTTACAACTTGATTGATTACACCGAACAGTAATGTGGACTTCGTGCTATTACCGGAAAAATCGAAAATTAGCCTAATTTGTAGCACCACACTCTAGAGTAGAGGTGACTCGCTAGCGGGCGAGGGATTTGAGATTCGACTGCCGTGTCGGGCCAAGTTTATTAAAGTAAATACGAACTTTGACTTAACTAGCAATAAGTTGGTTTTACATCTGATTATGCACCACTGTCTACTCTTTATAAAGGATGTTATGGCTAGAACTAACCAATTTTATTATATTTACAGACTTTATCAAGTGCGCGTGGGGCTCCGTGTGTCTCCGAAGGTACCAGTGCACATCGAGGCATCAGTGTCGAGTGGCAATGGAGCCGCGCGCACTGGCCGACCGGCCGCCAACGCGTCGCTGGTCGGCGGGGTGGCTGCCTCCCGGGCCTTCCAGATCATGTACCGCAATGAAGAGGTCACGCTACGGGACATCGTGCATTTTAGAGCTCATCTTTTAGGTACGTTTGTTAATTATATGGTTAAGTGTTTGTTGTTATCGTCCAAAGAGATCTAGAGTGATTACAAAACTTAACGATACCAAAAAATAAAATAAAAGGATATTGTGAACTGTTCATCAGACCAATATGAGTTTAATGAATACCTTAGCTTCATTGTAATCTATATAATTACCAATTACTGTGACTGTTATGAGATCTGGAATTAACCGAACAAATTAATTTTAAATCACAGTTCTTCCTACAAACAAAACTTAGACATTACACAATGACAAGCATTTGGAACTCGTTGCTTTCGTTCTTATAATAGAAGGTCGCTTTGCTCTGCTCTGAATCGATTGTTTGCCAAGAAGTGCCAAGAACCAGTTTTGTTGTTTGTTTAGTGGACAGTAGGAATCTGAAGGAGTCTCTGGAGAGAGCGGAATGGAGTCTTGGGGTGGAGTTGTGGTGCAGCGAGGGTGCGCAGTCCAGCACCCTGGCGCCGATGTCCTGTCGGGTGCTGAAGCTGCACTTCCAACCTTCCCAAGGCCTCCACTACCACCTCCCAGTGCTATTCGACTACTTCCACCTGTCATCCGTCTCCATCACCATCCATGCGAGCCTAGTTGCTTTACATCAGCCGTATATCAAGTAAGTATGCCTATACGAGTTTAAACATTTATTTAATTCATGTAATATACACCACTTTGTAATAAATAGATGTTTAGATTAAAAGACAAAATTATCGAATATTTTTGCTATTTATTACAGTTTAAAATTTATAATAATTTCACTCAAATTACTTACTGTAGTAGAGGGCCCATGGAATATATTCAACGCACTAATTCGTAACAAAATAATACTAACTCGATCTATCATTATTATTTCATGTCTGTCCGTCAATCAAGGAAAAGCATAATGCATTATGTGCAAAGCTGGTAAGTAATGTCAATATGTACCTATGAGGTACTTGTAGCTTCAACATAGTCTATTGATAATCTGTAGAAAACTACTAGTGCATAATTCTGTAATATATTTTTGGTTACGTCATTAGAGGCTCAGAAATAATTGCTAAAGTGAAGCACTCAGTGTAGCATTCGCACTCAGCAGGGGCGATTATAGTCACTAGAATTCACTATATTAACCTCTATTATGTCTGTCGATATATGAGACACAATAGAAAACACATTGTGTCTCGCGTAGATGGGTTCCAACAGACAACAGGTTAATTTAACTAACACACATTTACACCTATCATCTTTCTAATTATACCATTTCAGCACACCACGCTCAAGTAAGCAATGGGGTAAATTGATGAAGAGCGCAGGATCATTCAATACTTCGGGGAGCTTCGAGAATGTACTGTTTGGATCCACCGGCAAATGTGCCGGTGGGAACTCTAGCAAGATTGCGCATGCAAGGTCAGTATACTATCAGATATGGTTGAAAATAATCAAGTTTAAACTTCCTGACTGAAAATAAGGTTTTCTAAAGTTTTCTTATCACTGGAGGACATCAGGAGACGTTAAAAAGCCCTTGTTCGATAAATTTTTATGCTTATAAAAGTATTTTCTGAAGAGAGATCATTCCGTTCTAGTAATCAAAAAAAATAAAAAGCACTTCAATCAATATATGATTGAGAAGAAGACAAGATACCATACCTGCATTACTCGCTGTAGCCCATAGCAAATGCTTAATGCTTCTGAATGTCCTTCTTACCTAGTCATTGAACACTTGGGTGTTAAAGAACAGTAAGTTATGGACTAGCCTGTGCCTAAATAAATATTTATAAGTACCTAGTCAAATTTTTATTTTATATTTTCCAGGCAAGTCCACGCCGAAGTATGCGGAATCTTGTTAGGGTCACTGGAGGGTCTGCAGAGTGCACTAGCTATGTGTGGCTCCCCTGGTATCCTGCTTACTCCTGAAGAGTCCTCCTCCAATTCTGTAGTGGGAGAAGTCGCGCAGAGGCTAAAGGATCTTAGCGACTTTGGCAAGGTACGTTTTCATTATAAAATTTTACTATTAATAAAATATAAATAGATTAGTTTCAGCGACTTTGTACCAAAAAGTCTTACTATAAAGGTCTCTGGGGAACTTAAGGCAAATTTTCTCTAAGTGCTACTTTACACTCCCTAGAGATCATACATGCTACGTATACCAACTGGCTAGGTATATTAGTTTTAACTGTGCGTTGTCTGTCAGTCATAATAACTTTTGTTGAACAACTTAGGTACTAATTAGTTACTTGGTCAGAACATAATCTCTCCTCCTTTGATAATAGTTATAGAGTACAGAATAGTAATAATATTCTCAGAAGTTGGAGAAGTCAGAATGCGGCGAGGAGGAGGAGTGGGCGATGAGCGCGGCGCACGACATCGCGCGGCTGTGCGCGGAGGTGACGCTGCGGTGGCGCGCCTTCCTGCACCACGCCTCCGACCGCCCGCACGTGCACCACGCGCTCGCGGCCCGCCACCATGCGCTGCGGTAATCTATAACTTACATGCTCAGCTTTCAGCTGTCTGTTTCTATAGATAGACAAAACTGTTAACTGACAGTCATCATTTGGATTTCTTGAGGGATATGGCCACAAAAGGGGCTCCTTTATCACCTCATTAGAGTTTGGACATCCAATCTTTTATATGGTTTCATCATAAAGTCCAAAAGCCGACTGAAACATTGTCGAAGATCGGTGTAACAGGTTTTAACTCCTTATATATGATTTACAGCATAAAGCGGTTCTCAGAATGCTTTTTCGTGCTGGACAACCCTCGTCACTCGCTGGCGGGGTGCTACGACAGCAACTACCAGTCGTACCAGAGCGTGGGCGAGGCGGCGCGTCGCTCGCGGTACTTGGCGCTACTGCCGCCGCTACCTGTACACTGCATCGCGCTCGACGGGGACCCACACATCATGCCCATCATATTCGAGGACAGGTCTCTATACTATTGTCCAATCATCAAGTCATATGCCTTCTAAACCCCAAGCGTATGGTGCTTTGCATTCCGCGCGCGCCTCCAGTGCCATCAACCTACACAAAAGGGCCCAGTACGGCTGATGCCCGATGCATAGCCGCAGAGGATTTAACGGGTTATCGGGGCTTCAGCTCGATGAGCAGGAGTAGGAATAGGGTGGTTTTTAGCCAGTAAGAGTCTGACTCTGCCTCTCGCCTCACCCAAGGCTGGAGAAGTTGGATGATTTTTGTCCTTCAAAAAAAAGATTAAATAAGAACCCCTAAAATTTATACCTTTTTTTAAATTATTTCAGATACCAAGACACAGCAGAATTCGCGCGACGTCGTTCGTTTCTGAATTCGAGTGCAAGCAAATCCGGAAGCGGTAAGTTACACAATATTTATTGATGTCTAATTCCATCTTGCACAAAAATAAACTCTAATATGTATAAATGTGTCTTGTCTTGATGCAGATCCTTTCCTATGTTCGGAGCCCCTTGGAGATGACTGTGCATGTAGTGTAAGTTCACTCATGGACTCCAGAAGACCATCTTCCGAAGCCTCCAGAGTTACCCTCACACTGCCCAAAACAATCATCAAGCTTTGCGAACCAAAGTTTAACACACCCAAATCCGGTTCTGGTGTCGTTACAGCAACATTAACATTAGCTCCCCAAAAATCAGCCCACGGATCCCCCAAACGAGCCTTAGTGAAACAAAATGTTGTCGAACTACCCAAGGCACATAATAAACAACTCGAGCTCACCGGACGAAATAGATACATTGTGCAGAACAACCTCATCAACGAGATCCAACTACCACCAAACAACGCGTTCGCTTCATGCACGATACAACAAGGACAGACGATGTCACGATACTCTGCATCGACCTTGCTTGACATTAGTACAGCAAAAAGTGCTTCTAACGTGTCGCACCTAGGCAAGGAGCAATCAGAACCAGGACTTGAAGTATTTCGGCAAAAACACGAAATCACTAGCGGGGTGAGCACTCTACCAGCTAGACACAGCAAGTCACTGGATCAACTGCGAGTGTCTCAACTAGCGCCTCTCAATACTACGCAAACGTTGACTAAGAATGTGAGAAACGGTTCTAATTCGTCCGTTAACTATCCAAAACCGTACTTACCACCGCAGCAAGTAAAGCCTACCACATTGCCAAGAAGTGTTACAACTAGTGCTTACCCAACAAATACAACGACTAGATGCAGTTCCAAAGGAGATGACTATAGAAGAAATATAAGTGAATTTAGAGAAAAATACAAAAATCCTTGTATCAAGAAAGTTGGACATGGAATCAACAATGAAGTGTTTCATAATGTAGGCTATAAGTACGATGGAGTGATGAAACCGAATCCTAACCAAGTGTACGGCTATACTTTCGGTAATCAGGGTAATCTGCAAGTAAACAATGTTATTCGTAATCCGTTAGAGTTTCAAAGAGGCTACAGTGTAAATTTACCCCGTCCTATGTTGCCTCCACGTAATTCTTACCCACCGGTTAGTGGTAAAAATCAAGTGACTGATCAAAATAACTTAGTTTCTAATAAACACGTACATAGATCAAATTCTACGCATGTGTTTCATCAAAAAGTGGAAAATCAACAAATTGACATTGAAGCTGCTCGTAATCAACTTCGGCATGAGCTCAACTACTACTTACAAAAAGGTGATTGGAGTTATGATTTCAATACAGGAAGTTTAATTCAAAATTACCAAAAGAAATCTAGTAAAAGCAGTGATGATAGTGGATTTGTGATGACTTTAGATAGAAGCAGCGACGGAACATCTAAATCAACGTATTCAAAAACTCCGCCATCTACTCCACACTCAACGATGCCATCAGTTAGGCATAAAAAGAGCCGATCTAAAGAGTCTAAACTAAATAATAGTGCAAAAGAAAATACCAAAATTAACTCAAGTAGAGATTCATTGAGCAGTCACCATTCAATAAAATCTCGAGACAGTAAATCCGATCGTCACACATCAAAATCTGAACGAAGTACTCCAAAATCTGATCGTGCCACACCACGATCTGGCAAATCTACGCCCAAATCCGGTGGGTATACACCAAAATCAGGTTTAGCTACACCTAAATCTGGTAGAGCTACTCCAAAATCTGGTGCTACGACACCAAAAAGTGGTAGATCGAGTGGAAAACCAGAAAAACGTACGAAACACAAACCCTCAGAAAAAATGACTCAGTTGATGTCGGAGGCTGCATCATCGTCCAGCAACGAAAGTATACCCTTTGAGTTGAGAAGATTAGAATCGTCTACCAGTGTCCCTTATAGCCTCGATCACGGACCTGAATTATTACGACATTGTAGAAGTGCAGCATCTGTGTTAGATGAACCAAATTTAAATAATACATTTGGATCCGAATCTTTACCTAATTTAGCCCCACCACCTGCATTTGAGTCGCCTCCACTTGATATAGCCGATAAAGATTTTAAAATATTGCCTCCCAAAAACTTTCTAAATAATGAAGAAAAACGTCGCAGAAGCACATCTACTTCGAGTTTAAGTGAACAAAGTGGATGGGTCTCTAGTGGCCGTAGTTCAGGTCCTTCCTCTCCTGATAATGCAAGTTGTCAATTAAATCAGAATTTCGTAGCTACGAAACCAACAACATCAAAATCATCTAGTAAAAACTATGAAGATACAGGTGACATTGGAAAGCATGATGGTGAAACTATCAGTGATTTCAAACGAACAGTCCTTAACGGAGATCAGCTACGAGAACGACTTTTAAAGTTAGCCGTGAAAGTGGCTCAAAACACTTCAAACGAGAAAATAGAATGCTGTGATAAGGAAGTGTGTGAAGAATGTACCATCTGTAGCGACTCTATATGCACAGACAGCCAGTGCGAATATAATAAACTGGTGCACAGTAATGGCATCGACGCGGGGTGCAACTCTGACACTTGTACTGCGAGCTGTTTTCAACAAATAGCAGAAGCTAACGCAGTAAAAGGAAATCAAAGGCACAACTCATTTAGTGCTGTACAAGGTAAAACTTACAGCTCTTCATCTAAAAGTCTAAATGAGGGGACGGTTAAAAAATCGCAAACAATAAGTGACAATTTACACCCTTACATTAGGAAAGAAATTCCACAGAAAGCTCAGCCGGCACCTGCGAAATCTCAGTCGCTGGATAAAACTAAATTGAAAGATCGAATACAGTATACGGAAAAATTAATAGCGGCTGAGATACGGAGTTTGACAGTGGATCGCTCTTGTGTCAAAACTGGAAGCCACAAGAAAGGCAGTTCTGGCTCAGGGCAGAAGTATCCGAATAAAGCTAAATCTGAAATTGACTTAGCCCACTTCATGGGCGACAATGATTACGAACATTTACCTCCTCCGCAACAGTTTAGAGATGCTCCACCTCCTCCAGACGAATTTAAGGTATGTGTCATACTTATAAATTGCAACAAAAATAGATTTACTTATGTATTTATTTAATGAACTTGTATTTTAGGATCCGCCGTCAAAATCTCCGAAGCTGAGCAGACAAAGCAGCAAGTCGTCTACTCCGTCGAAGACACCGAGGAAGCAGCAAGCACAGGCTTCCTCGCTTCAGTTGGACAACCCTTTGTATCACGTGTGTGAAGGTGAGTACAGCTGTGAGTGTCTGATATATTTATTGATGCTTCTGCGATTAACACCGTCGCTTGGCCATAACAGGTTTAATGGAGAGGCGGAAACTGAGGCCTCATCAGTCAGTAAACTCTAGCAGCGCGCCCTCTGCTGGCACGCTTAATAAAAGTCAGAGCACCGGGGAGTTGGCGAGCAGAAACGATACCGGTAACTAATGGTTTTATTACTAACCACCTTGTACATATTTTTTCTCAAATCATTTACATTTTGTAGGGTTTTATTTTTTTTGGGATAAGCCTGATACCTGATGGTGAACACCATGGGCGTTACAAAAGCTTACCGGCCTTTTGGGAATTGAGAATTTGAGAATTGTTTAATAATTATTCAACATTTTTTTCGGAACAATCTTGTTACTAAGAAATAATTTAATAATAATGAAATGCCCCCAAGTACCTACGGTAGTTTATGAATTGATATTAATACATTTTGTTAGACAAGATATTTACAAGAATATTTTTATAATTACAGAACAAAGAGAAAGTAATCTCGTCAGTATATTCGGTCTGGCCGAATCTGAAAGGCTATTCGTGAAATGCAGAGAGGAGTTTAGACAAAGCGTGAAGTACCCGGGAGCTATCTACTCGGACTTCCCGCCGGTTGAGAACTCTTTACCTTACTTCCATATCAGCGACGAGTATAGAATGTTCAATCCGGAGGGTAAGAAATACACCAAGTATTTTTTTATGGCTTAAGCCGGTAATCGAGCAGACGGATCACCTGATGGTAAGCAATCGGCGTCGCCCATGAACACCTGGAAACCAAAGGCGTTACAAGTGCGTTACCGGCTTTTTGGGGATTAGGAGTTTGAGGATCGTTGGAGATTCCGGGATTGGGGAGATTGGGGAAGGGGAGGGTAATTGGGCCTCCGGTAACCTCACTCACACGACGAAACAACAATGCAAGCGTTGCTTCACGTCGGTTTTCTGTGAGGCCGTGGTTTCATTCCGGTCGGTTCATTCGTGCCGAAGCATGGCTCTCCCACACTTGTTTCTATCACTTAACGAAATTTAATGTCAAGTATTGTCTATTTCTATCGGTTCTAGATAAAAACACAAGAAATGTCGCCAGACAATTGAAGGAAATATTTTTGTCCTATACCATGTACTTAGTAAATAAACCTCATAATAATACCTTGGTCATGATGTACTTGTTTCGAGGCTGATGAGTATTTTCAAACAATTCCAGGGCTCCACCTTATAATCTGCGTTCACGGCTTAGACGGTAACGCGGCGGACCTCCGTCTGGTAAAGACATACTTGGAACTAGGTCTGCCTGGGGCAAGGCTAGACTTCCTCATGTCTGAAAGAAACCAAGGAGACACTTTCTCCGACTTTGACACTATGACAGATAGGTGAGCGGTAAAATATTACTTCTTAATTGTGATCGGTTGCAAAACCCTCGATTAATTGATATCTTTCCTATCACATTTATTGTATCGAAGTCTAAAACCAGTTTATAACGAATATTAAATTATACACAAATTAATTTTACGGCTACAACGACTTTGTTTATTGAATAGAGTATTATTAAACGTCAAATAAATCATTTATTCGATATTTTGTTTTATATCAATCATTCAGAGAGGACATGCTTAATATTATATCTATTACAACATATATTTCAAAAGTAAATAAATACAGAGTGTTTCACAATATTACAAAACAATTTTCAATTCAAATTCAAAAAACAATTATGTTATTATTTACAGACTAGTGCAAGAGATCTTGACTCACATTCAAAATTCGAGTGATCCAGCTCGAATAAGTTTCGTGGGTCATTCTCTGGGTACGATCATCATTCGCTCGGCACTGGCCAGGCCACAGATGAAGCCATATCTCTCCAAACTGCACACCTTCCTGTCACTCAGTGGACCTCACCTAGGGACTCTATATAACTCCAGTGGACTGGTTAATGCTGGTAAGTTACAACTTGATCACAGTAAAAAGTACGGCATTCGTCCTATTGATTTTTGATACGTGACGAATTTTGATAAATTCTTTCAAGAATGATGTAAATGCTAATAAGCACTTATTCGTAAGGAGATTAATAAATCCTCGTTGGCTGAGTGGGCGCAAGTGCGACTGCTGGTCAAGAGGTCTCGGGTGCGATTCTCGGGTCGGGCAAAGTATTACTGGGTTTTTAAAAATCTCAGTAGTAGCACGGAGTCTGGAAATGTGCCCGGTATATGGCAATAGGCTCACCCCCTATTACATGGGACTCATAACATAAATAGTGAAAAGTGGGTGTTACATTGTACACCTCTGACTACCCCTTCGGGGATAAAAGGCGTGATGTTATGTATTAATAAATCCCCTTACGAGATTTTCAACTTTACTTATTATATGTATATCATAATCCCAAACAGTTACAATGTGTGTTTAATATCTATAAAACATGTAAGTATTACAAAATAGAAAACATATTGGCCAACATAGAAACTTTAACTAAATAAACGAAAAAACTAAACTAAAATTTAAAACTTGGCACTTAATTGCGCTGACGATGATATGCCAAAACGAATTCCTTTAACTTCAAAAACCAATTGTTCCAGGTATGTGGTTTATGCAGAAATGGAAGAAGTCGGGCTCTCTGCTGCAACTGTCTCTCCGGGATGCGTCAGACCCTCGGCGGTCGTTCCTCTACCGGCTGAGTGAGAGGAGTCAGTTGCATCAGTTCAAACATATCCTGCTCTGTGGCTCCGGACAAGACCGATACGTTCCACTGCACTCCGCAAGATTGGAACTCTGCAAAGCCGCAGCTAAAGACACATCACTTCTAGGACAAGCCTACAGGGAGATGGTTTGTAGTCTTCTTTATTTTGCTGTTTGTTATTCTTTATGGATTATACCGGCAAAAGAGCAGATGGATCAACTGATGGTAAGCAATCAGCGCCGCTCATGGACACTCGCAAGTTCGCAATACCTTTTGGCGGTTAGGTTTGGGCTCTAAGCTTTACTTGTTTTATGTAGTTTTATTTTTTGTTAATTCTGTTATCAATGGGCTCTATTTCAGTTGTTTCCGCCCACACACGACGTTATCTCATTAACGTACCACATATAAATAATAAATAGGTTTCTATTATATCTAATTCTTGGTATTTCTAAACGTATCATAAAAACTTTATCGCTGAGGTCAGTGTCATTGAACTTGGATCACAAACTGCCGCGATTTTTTTCTGTACACCTTAGTAGGTACTCTGTTTTAATAATAGTAAATCATAATTCTATAGTTTTAACATAATGTTTGCCGACACTCACAGAAACAATAATTTTTTCGTTGAGGATCGATAAAGGCCAAATACGCCGCGGTCTTGCGATATGATTAGGTACGGGGTTTTAGTTTATGAGACCACGAATTTTCGAAACTATAAGTATAGGTTTTTGAGAGTCGTATAGTCGATTAATAGAAACAATATTTTGTCTCAGAACAGTTTAATATAAGTTAATATGTTAGTATAACAGTTTAATGTAAGACCCAGAATAGTTTAGAGAACCCATTTATCTTACGCTGACCGTATCAAACTACGAATACCTAGGTAGTTAAAGAGAAATGTACAGTGTGTTTGTATATGCAGATAAATCTACGGAATTGATAAAGAAGTAGGCAAGGTGCGAGGAGCTCTGTAGTTTCTGTTCCACAATGGAACAAAAACATTAGATTATGTATGTAAACATAAATTATTTACTGAGGTTTTCTGTAGGTAGGTAGTATCTTTTTCGAGCAGCTGAATGTGTCTCAAGCTATTTGTTTGGTAAGTGTGTGTGAGATGTGTGGGTGTCGCAGGTGCACAACATGGTGTCCCCGCTGGCGCGCGCGGCGGGCGGCGGCGCGGCCGTGGTGCGCTACGAGGTGCAGCACGCGCTGCCGCACACGGCCAGCGCGCTCGTCGGCCGCGCCGCGCACATCGCCGCGCTCGACTCCGACCTCTTCATCGAGAAGTTCCTGCTTGTCTCCGCGCTCAAATACTTCCGATAACAAACTTACTATCTCTACCACTCTCACTTCCTAACCAAGATCCCTCATACTTCCCATAGTATGCTGTAACTCCCGCGCTACTCAGCTCGCCATTAACGTCTCTTCCTTAACCATGCCCCAATTTAATACCAACCGTCATTTTAGCATTTTATCTCACACAATTCTATATAAATTATGATGTATCTAGATCATTGTAAATACTATGGTTTTCAGGTAAGTTAGAATTAAGCATTTATTTGTAGTGAGAATGATAACATGATCAGTTTAATTTACCTAAATGTCGTATCCAATTTTCCAGGTGATATCCAATTGTTTTCTATGTTTTGTACCCAATATCCAATTGTTTTCTTTAGCACAGGCTTGTATTTAAAACCGGCATCAAGAAAATATCACAAAAGTCAATTGTATGAGACTTTGTCATACATGTGGTAAATGTAGTACAACTAGCGTTGAGGAATGAGCCATAAGGCAACCATATGTGGTTATAAAGCAGAAGGAATGCCATGAGAACAATCCTGAGACAAGAGTTTAAGCCAATCCCGAAAATAATAACAGATCGCAAAGCCGTTAAACTCATAGGCTCACATACCTAGTTGCGTACTACCTACTTAATAAACGAGATACATATTATGTACCTACCTACTGCTTTGCTGCTAATCCTTTATAGGTAGGGTTGAAGTACTTAAACCTACAAACCAGTACTATCAGAGATACTAGTGTGCAATATTTGAACTGATTTAAAAAGAATACTAATCTGCACAAATTCATTAGGGTTTTGATCCTTGTCTCATCAAGCTATTGATGTGAATATGGCTAAAAGTTATAATTAAATTAATTAGCATTTTATTTCAATTCGCATTTCATTGGCGTTTTAATTTTATGGTTTTTGAACATTTAAGATTTACCTGCCTTAAAAAGGGAATGATATTTTTTTGTTGATAACATGTCTCTTTATATATTAATAATAAATACCTAGTCAAAGAAATAACACCGATAAAGAATAAGGGCAAATATTTAAACAGGCTAAGTATATGCTAACTAGTTAAACTACATAATTTTAATTCGGTGTGGTATTAAAATGGGTATTTCGGGTTTGTATTAAAAATTGAAACTCTAGCTTCAATTTTCACTGGGTATCATGCCCCTAACTAGTCTCGATCCATGCTGATCACCTTGAAACAACACCATAATTCATCTCCCAAGACCTACAGGATTTTCGAAATTATAAATAGACTTGGTGACGGCGTGATAATTCGTAGCTTCTGAAACGTAGTGATTTTATGAACTCTGTTGAGGGTTAACTTACTTAATCAACAATTTTAAATATTTAAGTAGGTTTTAAAATGGATCTTTACACCAATTAATTAAGACTAAGTATAATTTTAGCGAGTGTAGATAATATAGGTAGATGTTATTTGTGTTATGGTTCGATATTATTATGAACGGTACCTACCACTTTATAAAATCAGATTGTTTGCTATGGATGTACCCGGCTGGACGTTTTCAATTAATTAACTAGTATCCAAGAGGATCCTTGGAACATAAAACAGTTTAAGCAATATCGCGTAGGTTGACACGCCCTATAATTGTGTTAATTTACATCCATAGTAAACAAATTATGATCTCTATATACTTTGTTTCTCCTCCACTTATTAGGCCCGTCATAAAAAATCTAAGCACTATTAATATAAATTATTTTCTACTTTACTTGAATTGTAAATATGGGTCTGATGCGTGTATGACTAAAGTAAACCCTATCTACCTACCTAATGAAATCAATTATCTAATGTTGCACAAAGGGTTATAAGAATAATTATTAATAAGATATCTAAGTACAGAGTTTTATTGATCACCACAATTGAGTTTACTATTGTCGAGCAGGAGAACGAATCAATCAGCCCGTAGCCTTAACGTAAACAAAAAAATATATAAACTACTTAACGTTAGATGAAAGTTGTAAATCTTTAACGAATGTTAGACTGATATTTAAAAATATACTGACACAGACATTATATTATATATGTATAATAAGTTTCATAGATTATCTTTTCTGATATATTGGTACTTGCACTTACTAGTGAATATTTTTGTTAAGAAAAGTTAATAATCTTGCTCTGTCCACTTGTATTATTCTGTAGATAAAAATACTTTATACAGGGCTTGGATTATTGATTTACTATAATTATTCGGCGCATTAGTGTACCACTGAGATAGTAATTGTAGGTAGGTGATACCTCTTTATTGCTCACAGGCATGCTTGAAGGAAATGACAACGTTACAGTTTCTGTGGAACTGTCAATATTTAAAACTTGAATTAAAACTAATTACAATAAATATACCACTATTGAGGCATACCTGTAAAAGTTCATCCAATTCCTAAAAACGTTATTGAAAAAAACTTCTTGAATAATTTGCAAGAAAATAAACTGGTGAGGATGTTCCCACAAAGCACAGTTAATGTTTACAAACACGAAGGCATATTTTCGTATACCTAACATTAAATCACAATGTCATCCAATAAGACAAAACAATTGACATGTTTAATAATGTTTGTAAACTTTCTCAACAGTAGTAAGGGAGCTCTCGTTAAAGATCAATACCGCGCAAAAGTTCGTTCCTCGACAGTATAGCCCTTTACCACAAATATAAAGCTACCTATGTATTCGTAATTATAAAATACGTCTCTTTTACTACTTCATTTAAAAGTTCTATTGAAACTGGCGCCTTTGTCGTAACCCTTTATATAATGCAGATTATTAAAAACCTACTTATCTAGGTGTGTATCAAAAACATCTCGAATGAATTTTGTAAATATTATAAAAAAATATTTGTAAATCGTATGTTTAATGGCAATGTGTCGATGTTATACACTTATGATAATAAATAAATAACGCCTGAAATGTTGTTTATATTTCCTATAAGTTACCAATGTTCAAAAACTTCCACATTTCTCATGAACCTTTCACAAAAAATTGTATCAAATTTTTTAATGGAATAGGAGGCAAACGAGCTGACGGATCACCTGATGGTAAACAATCAGCGCTGCCCATGCACACCTGCAACACCAGAGGAGTCACAGGTGCGGTACCTTTTAAAAAGGAATACGTCTTGGCTCTTTTCTTAAAGGTTTGAAAGTTGTATCGTTTCGGAATTATCGCCGACGACAGGTCATTCCACAGTTTTGCTGTGCGAGGCAGAAAGCTACGAAAGAAGCGCACAGTTGTGGCCTGCCAACCATCTATATGATGGGGATATATTTTAAAATGTGTCCAAAATGAGACCATAAGTCTGGGAGACACTTGCGTTATGTTTCGTCGTGTGAGTGAGATTACCGGAGCACCCATCCCCAATCCTCAAAATAGTTTATATAATAATAATAGTAATTTGCTGGAGAACTTCCAAACTTCCAAACATTTTTCCAAGGTGGCAGCGCGAGCGGCCCACATACAAAGGCGCAAAATGAAAATCGAAAAAATCACATCAAAAACTACAAAATTGCCGATTTTTAAAACTCCTGGAAACCTGTCCAGGAAACCCTTATATTTAGGAAAATTTCCGATAATTTTATTAAGGAGGACCTTAATAAAATTATCGGAATAAAAGGACAGTAACGTACGTGTAGCACCTCGGGTTCTACCGGTACCACCGTGTCTCTAGTGAGCATGGGCAGCACCAATTACTTACCATCACCGTCAGCTCGTTTAAAACTCATACTGGCAAAAACAGAGCCAGGTTTTTAACCCTACATGTCAGTCCTAAACCCTAATAATTTTATGCTTCATTTACGGCAAAATACTAGCCGTAAAGCCGTAGCTCGTAGAGCGTAGTTCGTTGCACATAACGTAACATCACGCCTTGTATCCCCGAAGGGTTAGGCAGACGTGCACATTACGGCACTTAACAACAATGTAACACCTACTTTTCACTATTTATAAGTCACATGTAATAGGGGGTGAGCCTATTGCCATATACCGGGCACATTGGAAAGTTCGTGCTACAACTGAGATTTTTTTTAAATCCCAGTAATACTTTGCCCGACCCGGGAATCGAACCCGAGACCCATTGCCCGGCAGTCGCATTTGCGACCACTCGGCCAACGAGGCAGTCCGTAGTTCGTTGCACGTGGCAGCATTTATTTTTTTCAGGAAAAGATGACCCACCCTAGCATTTTCTGCAGTGTTTCGGGCGTGCATACAAATTAACATACACATCAATCACACCTAGAGCCGGAACCACAATATGTGGCCCACACAGAGTTATTTCGTGCGGGAATCGAACCCGCGACACGTTGCACAGCATTCGGTTTCCTGGCAACTGCCTGTGCCAACTGCAATCAAGTTGCAGTTTCTTGGTTGAATGTGACTTTGATTTGCGGAAAAATGCTACAGACGTAGCTTGTAGAGTATATTTCGTAGGGCGTAATACATAGCGCGTATTCGTAGTTCGTAGCGCATAACTGTAGCACTTAGTTCATAGCGCGTAGCTCGTCGATCGTAACGCGTAGCTCGTCGATCGTAACGCGTAGCTCGTAGGTCGTAACGCGTAGCTCGTAGGTCGTAGGTCGTAGCTCGTAGGTAGCTCGTAGGTCTTAACGCGTAGCTCGTAGGTCTTAACGCGTAGCTCGTAGGTCGTAACGCGTAGCTCGTAGGTCGTAACGCGTAGCTCGTAGGTCGTAACGCGTAGCTCGTAGGTCGTAGGTCGTAGCTCGTAGGTAGCTCGTAGGTCTTAACGCGTAGCTCGTAGGTCGTAGGTCGTAACGCGTAGCTCGTAGGTCGTAACGCGTAGCTCGTAGGTCGTAACGCGTAGCTCGTAACGCGTAGCTCGTAACGCGTAGCTCGTAGCTCGTAGGTCGTAACGCATAGCTCGTAGATCGTAACGCGTAGCTCGTAGATCCTGATGCAAAGCTCGTAGATCCTGAGTCATAACTCGTAGCGCCCAGTTCGTAGATCATGTCGCGTAGATCGTAGCTTCAGTATTTGATTTTTGCGTTGATTGAAAAT